CCCCCCCAGGCCAGCCAACTAATCGATAATCAGAATAGTTGCCAACTATTGTCATCAATTTTTATCGATTTTAGTCGACTAGTTTTGCAGCCCTAGAGATTTTCTCTCTTCCTGTTTGGATGACAACTGCAACATTTTTAGACTTCTTATCCCTTTCTGATAATGGTTACCAAGGCAGAAAGTGAAGGGAAATCACCCGTTGGGGGACACAACAAAGGTTCTGACTCTTGCCCACCCTTCCAAAAACTAGGGGAAAATGATTGGAGTTCTACTTTATATCTTATAAAATTGGCACATAGAGAAAACAAGTCTATTGACAATAGGAACCATATACTGATGTGTGTATGCAACAATCTTTGCAGTTGGAGGGTGACCGGTTGTTCTATTCATTATCATGTTTACCACCCACATGCTTTGTTAAACCACCGCCTGCCTGTACTGGAGATCCTTTAAAGGTGATCTTCGCTCTATAGAAGAGCCGCGGTGGAGGAATCTTCCGGATCAGACACGCTTATGTGTGTGTTGGATACCTGCCCCCCCCTGTGTTGTGGTTCCATCCACCAACTTCTACAGGACAGGGGTTCACAGATGAAGTCCAGATATGCAGAGGGGGTCCAGAAACCAATGCACCCCCAGAGGTGTCTGATGCTTCCGCTGTCTTAGTCTAGATTGTTGGCAGAGTATGTTGGTATACATTTTAGTGTTTTCATTTTTAGTGACAGAGTCTCTTTAACTCAATCCTATGTTAGGAGTCTCATTATGGGTCCCTGAGGATAGCCTGGAGCAAAGTGTTAAATAAGGATGCACCGGGGGTGGTTTATGATGTAGACGGATCATATCTGGCAATGGGTTCTATAAAACATAGCTAAAGAAAAGAGTTGCTTTTTCCATAGTTGTATCATCCTCCTGGGTCTGCAGTGTTGCAGGTGTGTGGGAATCACAAAGGTCTTACGTGGAGGTGCACAGTCCTGACGATGCTGGACCAAATGTGATTCTGAGTGGTGCACGTAGTGACTGTGATAGATGGTGCCATGCATAACCAGTACCAAGGAAGGAAATCTCCAGCACTCCAAAGATGTATATTCTAGATAGAAAAAATGGTACATGCATGAATCTATAACCAGCCTTTATAGCAGGGCGCACATTGGCTTCTACATATTTTTGGCCAAAAGTTTGTGCAACTAAAACCTCTGATTTTAACGCATACTGCTGACAGGGCTACTTGTTTGGTTGCAGGCTGGCTGGCAGGTTGAGGCTGGGGAATTTCTGTGTTTTGTATTGTTGTTAGCCTTCCCAATGTGCGTCCTGCTATAAAGGTCGGTTATAGATTCATGCCGGTGCCATCTTTTCTAGTTTGACTATTTTGGGTTTGGGGGACGCACTGGAGTCCCAGCGTGCATTTTTGGTTGCTGGGCCCCCAGTGCGTCCCTGCACCTTATTAGGAGGAGTTGGCTACCTCCAGGTACACCTGCATGTAATTTTTCAACTTCATTAATATGCTCACACTTGGAGACTCGGATACACAGAGTTAGGACCACACTTTACAGAGGTGCCTTAGCGCGGCGGTGTGGCTTCTACATATTTTTGGCCAAATGTTTGTGCAACTAAAACCTCTGATTTTAACGCATACTGTTGACAGGGCTACTTGTTTGGTTGCAGGCTGGCTGGCAGGCTGAGGAATTTCTGTGTTTTGTATTGTATATTCTAGATCCTTGGTTCTCAACTGGTGGGGGTCGCGTCCCATCTTTTGGGTCACAACCTATGTTCAGTAGGTCACTGCATGCCTTCCAGTTTTCTAGGTGAGAGGCTCCTCTGCCTTCCCCTAGCACAGCACTGTCCGTTCTCCCACCAAGCAGCCATTCATAATATGCTGCCAGCTTGAGATGGAGTGGGATGGAGCTATGGCTGCGAAGGAGCTCCATCCATATGTGCATTGCTTACAGCTTCCTCGCATGTCCTATAGAGGGGCCTGGACCGGAGTGACGTCACATTCTGGCTCCCGGAACCTCTACAGGGCACACAAGGATGCTGTACAAGCAATGCACATATGGATGGAGATCCGTCACATCACAGCAGTCCACACTGGACCCCAGGCTGAGGATCCATTGCAGTTCTCATACGATAGGGAGATTGGGTGCATCTCCAAAAACTATTTTTTACATTAAATGTGTGTGGTTTTTGTGTGTGCCGGAGTGTGTGAGGTTTTGTGTGGCTGTGTATGTATGTCAGTATGTATGTATGTCTCGTTCACACTAGTCCCATGCGATGAACGCTCTGTACCATGCAATTGCACCTACCATGCGTTCTGGTGTGGGAGGTGCGTTGGGTTGCCATTAATTTGAATGGTACCTCAAACTCGCCTCCCCAACACAGCTCATGCACCCACACTGGAACGCACAGTACCCTAAGGCCGTGCATTACATTGCAGTTTGAATTGGGTTGCGACCTAACGACGGAGGACAAATGTGGGTCCTGAGGTTACACAGGTTGAGAACCACTGATCTAGATGAACTCAGAACACATAATGTAACATGTTCTGGACACAGAGTCGTCCTCCGAGACCCCAAAACCTATCTATGAAGTGCTGGTGACTCTCGTTTGAATTACAAGACTGGCTAAACAGAATCACAAATATTTTGGCAGGTTGAACAAACCACATCTATGTATTGTATGTATTTCTGTTGTGTTCTAAGCTGTTTGGCTTGACTCTAGTCTGAGCACAGACCTTCAATGAAAAGCAGGCTCAAGTAGTCTGTGAATAAGGCGGACCTTCTATTGTCATGGCGCTCCGCTTTAAGTATAAATATATATTTTCTTGCATGCCATAACAGAGTTAGAGAATTTTAGGCCAATGTTTTTCTGACGCGTGTAATTTCTATATGATAACCCCGCAGCCGGAAGATACCTCTGTAAAATGTGGCGGTGATTCTACTTGGATGGCCTCATGGATGAATGACTCCTCCCTCGGGAATGTGCTGGGATCAGCGCTGAGCAGCGACAGGCTCTGCATCCTAGCAGACACCCGGGAAATCTCCTCCGGTCCCGAGGTCATCTCCTGCCTGAAGAGCGCTCATGGGGTGCGGGTGGAAATCTGCTCCCTGGGGGGCTGCGATTACATCGTCAGTAACCGCCTGTCTGTAGAGCGGAAATCCCAGTCGGAATTCTCCAACTGCGCGAACAGGAGTAAGCTGGCCGAACGGATCCGGCATCTGAGGAGCATGTTTGATCGGGTTTGCCTCATCGTGGAGAAGGACCGTGTGAAACCAGGTACGATGTGCATGGAGGGATGCGTGTACAAATCCGCAGACTGGGCGTCATAGAAAACGTTAGGGCCTTCTTCACACTGGCACTGCCATGCTTTCTAAACACAGGAGAAGTTATCTGGGAAGGAGAAATGCATTCTATGGATCCCAGGTCACACTTTTCCTGCGTTTAGACGTTTTTGCCCAAAGTCCTGTTTAGAGCTTCTAAACAGATTGTGGACGCACAGAGTTCGGATTCCTTTAAACTCAGCTAAACCTGAATGCAGGTGAACGCAAAGTCTGAATGATACATTTATAGATGGGACTTGTCACTGCCAGAAAGAGGGAGGCTATTGCTTTTGGGTTAAATTTAGGATTCATGCATACAGGTGGCTGAGCCCCAAACATGTAAATTCCCGAGTGTTTCCCCCGACAGGGAGCCCTGTGTGCTGTGTACAGTCTTCGGTATGGATATCTGTGCCGATACTGGGTACTGTGAAAATGCTCCCATACAAAAAGCCGATACTGGCGCTTCACATTTGTTAATGGATTCGGCTGCTGTAAGGTCCTGCGCTTGCTGGGGATCGTGTTGCGCCTCCACACCAAATTCCAACATTTTACCATGTTATCTGACTGCAGATCATTCCTCCTCCATCCCAGCCATGCTGCCATCTTATCTGACTGCTGGGATTTGTAGTCCTCTATAGCCGACGGCATTATTTGGCATTGCTGTATAATGTATTGCTGGCATTTGTAGTTCTCCATAGCTGGTTGTATTCTGCATTGCTGTATAATGTATTGCTGGGATTTGTAGTTCTCCATAGCTGGTTGTATTCTGCATTGCTGTATAATGTATTGCTGGGATTTGTAGTTCTCCATAGCTGGTTGTATTCTGCATTGCTATATAATGTATTGCTGGGATTTGTAGTCCTCTATAGCTGGTGGTATTCTGCATTGCTGTATAATGTAATGCTGGTATTTGCAGTAATACATTATACAGCAATGTTAGAAAATGTCGCATGTCCCTTTAAGAAAAAGTACCGGTAATTAGTATTGGTGAGTACTTGAGGGAAAGTACTTATAATATCCCCAAAAGAAAGCATACAAGCCGGATCCACGCTCCCCTTTCCAGGGACACGCCCGCTCCCCTTTCCAGGGACACGCCCGCTCCCCTTTCACACCAATGTGAGTTTGTTGCTAGCTTTGCTGAATTGGCTTTCATGTTTCTGATCTGCAGGAGAAACCTCTCGGCTATTCCAGAGAACAAAGTATTACGACGGCACGCTGTCCACTTTAATCAGCGCCGGGGTCCAGACCCTCTTCAGCTCCAGCCAGGAGGAGACGGCGGGGTTATTGAAGGAGCTGGCCTCCCTGGAGAGGAGGAAGAATACGGCCATCACAGTCCCCACTCAGGTGACCAGCCACAAGCAAGACGCTCTGAACTTCTACCTGTCCATCCCCAATGTCAGCTACATCACCGCCCTCAACCTCTGCCACCACTTCAGCAATGTGCGGTACATGGCCAACAGGTAAGTCTAGGAATCCATGGATCTATTGTAAAGCTGAACTCCAGAAAAAACAAATGTACAGATGAAATATATATGCGGGAGATGTTCTACTGGCCAATGGGAATGCATTTCAGTCCATCCAGTCCTGAGATGTACACAGCCCGGCCTGGTAGGGGAGGACGCCTGATCTTTCGTGTGTTGCAATGCTTCCTCCTCACCCTGTATCTGGAGAGTGAGGAGAGTAACATGCATGTAGACGGAAGTGGCTGCACGGGATCAGCAGGACTGAGATTAACATGCATGTAGACGGGAAGTGGCTGCAGGGGATCAGCAGGACTGAGATTAACATGCATGTAGACGGGAAGTGGCTGCAGGGGATCAGCAGGACTGAGATTAACATGCATGTAGACGGGAAGTGGCTGCAGGGGATCAGCAGGACTGAGATTAACATGCATGTAGACGGGAAGTGGCTGCAGGGGATCAGCAGGACTGAGATTAACATGCATGTAGACGGGAAGTGGCTGCAGGGGATCAGCAGGACTGAGATTAACATTCATGTAGACAGGAAGTGGCTGCAGGGGATCAGCATCTACTGTGCTCTATTCGGCTGGTTCATTAGGAACCAGCCAGAACTTAACCAGTGTATACCCGGCTTTAGGATTTATATCTTGTTTAATTTGCCCCAACAAACGACTTCCTGCTTCTGGCTCGCTGTTGTTGACAACCCGGAGAATTCTTTTCAGATGCTTTGATGAATGGTAATACGTGAAATAACCTCTGGCTGCTGCATAATATCTTGTGTGCGCTCTCTGGGGTAACTTTCCTCTTATTCTGCAGCTCTGTAGATGTTCTCTCCAGCAAAGGACAAGTGAGCCGGCAGAAGGCCGAAGAGATCTACCGCTACCTCCGTTACCAGTCTGACCCGCAGCTGCAGACGGGTGACAAACGGAAACCCCACTGACCCTTTCCTGTGTGGAGATGGTATTGCAGGACAATGCTCTCCGGTCCTTCTAAAGCACTTTAATATTCTTTTGTATTGTGTGTTCATTTTGTAGTTTATAAATAAATGTTTTTGGAAGATGCGATTTAATTATGCTGCCAAGTCTGTGCTGACTTTGTTCAGGGCTGGTGCAGACTTGGGCGATCATGTGCGGTTACCACACGGCCCCATTTCAATGCGGTTATATCCACGCGGCAATCGCTGGGGAAAAAGGTACCTTTTTTTGTGTGACATGCGCCACACGGTTTTTTTCCGCTGCGATTGTGCACAATTACACAAGTGGAATCCCTACGCAATCTGCCTGGCTTGTCTGGTGCGCCACTACAAAATAATGGCATCAGCGGTGGTGTGCGCTTCTGTGACCACGCGACCATCCACGTGGTTTTGTGCAAGATTCCTGCGTGGTCACGGATCACTCAAATGTGAACCCGGCCTCAGAGCTACACTTCTTTCAAACAAAATATTCATGCAAGCCTGGGCTAAATATAATATACACACACACACACACACACACACACACTAGATTGCCAAAAGTATTGGGACGCCGGCCTTTACACGCACATGAACTTTAATGGCATCCCAGTCTTAGTCCGTAGGGTTCAATATTGAGTTGGCTCCGCCCTTTGCAGGTATAACAGCTTCAACTCTTCTGGGAAGGCGTCCACAAGGTTTAGGAGAGTGTCTATGGGAATGTTGGACCATTTGTGAGGTCAGGTACTGAAGTTGGAGGAGAAGGCCGGGCTCGCAGTCTCCGCTCTAACTCATCCCAAAGATGTTCTATCGGGTTGAGGTCAGGACTCTGTGCAGGCCAGTCAAGTTCCTCCACCCCAAACTCCCCCATCCATGTCTGGAACAGGAAGGAGCCATCCCCAAACTGTTCCTACAAAGTTGGGAGCATGAAATTGTCCGAAATGTCTTGGTGTGCTGATGCCTTAAGAGTTCCCTTCACTGCAACTAAGGGGCCTATCCCAACCCCTGAAAAACAACCCCACACCATAATCCCCCCTCCACCAAACCTTACACTTGGCACAATGCAGTCAGGCAAGTGCCGTTCTCCTGGCAACCGCCGAACCCAGACACGTCCATCGGATTGCCAGACAGAGAAGCGTGATTGGTCACTCCAGAGAACACGTCTCCACTTCTCTAGAGTCCAGTGGCGGCGTGCTTTACACCGCTGCATCCAACGCTTTGCATTGCACTTGGTGATGTAAGGCTTGGATGCAGCTAGCTTAGAAGCTTCGTTTGAATCTTTCAATAAAAGCCCTTCCAGCAGTAAGATGTTTCAGACACAGGCATCTGACTATACAGAGGGACCACAGGTGTACGTACAGCAATGAAACGCAACCCCCGGCCCTGGCACTACAGCTGTGTGATTTAGTAATGCTTGCTGAGGGGAGCAAGCTTTGCTGATTGCTGCTGACTTCACAATTGGGAATCCAAGATGGCTGTACATACCTCGTATTCAGTATCTGGGGATCTTCAATACTCCATAGCGGCTTCCATTTCCAAAGCTTGGAGCTGCACCAGGTCCCCACCACAACATCCCCTAGTGAAATGTGCACTGCAGGGAAAAGGAGTTGGCATGGCACAGTGCCATCCTCTGCTTTGAGGTGACACTAAACTCAGTTAAGGTATTTTAATAGGAGTTACATCTTAGTCATTTAACAAAAATGTATCTTATTTGTGTATCACTCGGCTGTAGATCCTCCAATCATCTCTGAATTGGTGCTGACACTGTCCTTCCTTCTGGAGGGTGACTACTTTTGTTGCCCATGGTCTGTGTGTGTTGTAAAGTAGTCACCGCTCCAAGCTCACTCCTGTGATGGACTACAATCTCAATACAAATTAGTAAACTAAACATGAGATTGGAGCGGTGACTACTTTACTTTTGGTGTGTCTGGTGTGTGTTGGTTGTAGCCCCCCTCGATAAGGAAGGACAGTGTCGGCACCAATTCAGAGATGATTTGAGGATCTACAGCCGAGTGATACACAAATAAGATACATTTTTCTTACGGTAATAGTTTGGGTACCTGAACATTTTTAGGATGTAACTCCTGACTTTAGTGTCCACACTAGACTGTGGCATCATGGGACAAGGAACATGTATTGAGTAATCACAATAGATGACAATGAGAAACTAGTTGGAGCAGCAGATATCCCAAAATGCAATATTTGTGGTCACATGACTGAAATCTTGTTTGGGATTTGCTCAGGGGTAGGTGACACGAGTGCTAATATGCTTGGTACTGCATATTCATATGCACACGAGATACAGTCTTCAGGAAACCAGGCAAAGGATAAATGGGGGTCTACCATTGCTGACCTACTCCTGAAATTTCTCCACAATCAGTTCTCTGCACTGGAAACCTAAAACAAGCGTACAAAAAGATCTGCTTATTTCTTCCTAGAAAACCATACTGTGCACTGGCAACACGGATCAGCTCAGCAGTGCTTTCAGTCAGTGCTGCTCTTCTGCATGTGTGGGATGTCAATTACATCCTATGAGGAGAAACAAAAAGAATCACCGGAATAACAGTGAATTCAGAAAACATATAAAGGCTGCACCCGCAGGTAATGGGAATAGTCTCTCCTCCCCCGCAGTCTGTTTTGAGTTGATGTTCCCTTTTACCAGACAAACATGGGAGATACATCAAGTGATTTTTCAAATGAGGAAGAACAAAACCACAGCAAATGATACACGGCTACAAGATTCCTATCCCAGTACAACACCCGCCTGGGACTAAGACAAGACCCCCCCCCCATCCCTGTACAACACCCCCCCGGGACTAAGACAAGACCCCCCCCCCATCCCTGTACAACACCCCCCCGGGACTAAGACAAGACCCCCCCCCCATCCCTGTACAACACCCCCCCGGGACTAAGACAAGACCCCCCCCCCATCCCTGTACAACACCCCCCCGGGACTAAGACAAGACCCCCCCCCCATCCCTGTACAACACCCCCCCGGGACTAAGACAAGACCCCCCCCCCATCCCTGTACAACACCCCCCCGGGACTAAGACAAGACCCCCCCCCCATCCCTGTACAACACCCCCCCGGGACTAAGACAAGACCCCCCCCCCATCCCTGTACAACACCCCCCCGGGACTAAGACAAGACCCCCCCCCCATCCCTGTACAACACCCCCCCGGGACTAAGACAAGACCCCCCCCCCATCCCTGTACAACACCCCCCCGGGACTAAGACAAGACCCCCCCCCCATCCCTGTACAACACCCCCCCGGGACTAAGACAAGACCCCCCCCCCATCCCTGTACAACACCCCCCCGGGACTAAGACAAGACCCCCCCCCCATCCCTGTACAACACCCCCCCGGGACTAAGACAAGACCCCCCCCCCATCCCTGTACAACACCCCCCCGGGACTAAGACAAGACCCCCCCCCCATCCCTGTACAACACCCCCCCGGGACTAAGACAAGACCCCCCCCCCATCCCTGTACAACACCCCCCCGGGACTAAGACAAGACCCCCCCCCCATCCCTGTACAACACCCCCCCGGGACTAAGACAAGACCCCCCCCCCATCCCTGTACAACACCCCCCCGGGACTAAGACAAGACCCCCCCCCCATCCCTGTACAACACCCCCCCGGGACTAAGACAAGACCCCCCCCCCATCCCTGTACAACACCCCCCCGGGACTAAGACAAGACCCCCCCCCCATCCCTGTACAACACCCCCCCGGGACTAAGACAAGACCCCCCCCCCATCCCTGTACAACACCCCCCCGGGACTAAGACAAGACCCCCCCCCCATCCCTGTACAACACCCGCCTGGGACTAAGACAAGATCCACTTCTTTCTTTAACACCCGCCCAAGACAAGATTCCCCCATCCCCGGCAATGATCATCCAGACAGGACATCGTCCAATTACTTTGGTTTTGGCCTAGTGTCTACCATACACTATATAGATTCCACTTCCCCTCAAACCAAATATGAGGCGTGCTCTTCCTACAAACAAACATTCATTTCCCAAGTAAAAGTTTATTCACGTAATTATTTCAATAAGTACAAAAACACAGAATGGATTGGAATCGTGGATCATCTTTATACATCTGGCCTCAGTACAAAATGAAAATACAAACAAGCAAAAAGCTGAACAACAGATTATCACAAATATAAAATGTACACCTAATTACAAGTGATATGTTTTTAGCAGACCCGTTCCATATGGGAAAGTATACCTTGAAGAACTTCTTCAGGCAGAAATAATAAACTTTGCAGTGGAGCAACCCTGGCACTGCAATTACAGCCGAGGGACATACCATCACTGGAGCAGAGGGTTCAGATTATTTCTGCGCAGAGTTCTTCTTTAAACCTGTCTGGCGAGTCACTGAGACTTCAGGTATTAAAGCCTAAAAGGTCCATCTGGGTAAAGACAGACCTATTTCCCTCACAATAGGTTTTCTTTCCTCTGCAAACGTTTCTCCAACCTGTATGTAGGGAGTGGGTCAAGGCTCAATCCCCCATCAAACTCCCCCTCCTATTCATATAGATGGAACAGCCAACAATGGATGTGGAAGCTCTGTAGGAGATCACATCTAGCCCAGCTAGCGTTGTACAAGCTGAACCTTTCTCCACCCGCAACCAGTGCCAGCGGATAGTATGTATGAAACCTGCCCAGAGCTCTTTCACAAAAGCATTTTAGTATTCTAAAATACCACTATAAAAGTCCTGCTGAAACAAACGCTAGACACCGCATTAAAATAAAAAAAATCAAGGTTTCCCTTTTTAAAATTAAAAAAGGAGCTTCACACTTCCTCTAAAAAAAAAAAAGTGAAAAACAAATTTAATGAAACAGATTCAAAGATACATTTCCCATCAGCTGACATAATTCTGGACACCTAAAAAGAAACATTAAAATCTGCTGCCCTAATACTCTATAGGAAGGATGATCTAACGAGGGTTGCTTTCATCAACGTTACATTGTAGCCTGACCTTCCCATGCCAGGAAATAAATATGTGTGCTCATTCGGTATATACATGATTGATCAAACAGCACGGCTCTATGTCTCCTCAGAAGAAGAATTGGAAAAATAATAATCCTTTTCTCCCTCATCTGACGAGGACACATCATCCTTCTTGAACAGTTTTCCGATCACCGATGTGTCTCTGGAACCTAAATGGAGCACACGAAGGGAGACCAGGAACAGTTGTGAGATCGGGTAAGACAAGCTGGGGACCCGTATAGATTTTACTTATACATAAAACTTGGTAAAATAATAAATGGATGATGACAAGTTCACTTCAAAACACAAAAGTTGATAATAAAGTACAATTCCAGGTTTACAGCAGCAATAATTACCTTTCCCTAAGGCCGTCACCCTTCGAGAAGTGGGAGTCGCTTGCAACGTGCCTCCCTAATAGACAAAGAAAAGGCAAAATGTCTAATATAGGAAATTGTGATACAGTTTATACAATCTCATTGTTACAAGATTCCCTAATCAGAGACGGCAATCATACCATTCCGCGCATTATGAATACCCCACATTCATGAAGCCAGTTACCAAAGAACTCCCTACATGAGGTGGGTAAGGATACTTCCTGAATCTTCACCGAGCAGCTGCCTCATGCATCGCCACATTCATTCTTTCTAAGGCTTGTCTGAGTCTGATCAGTGGCTGTAAGAAACTGCTGAAGGGCCTGTGTAGATGGATGCTCATTTCCTGCATCACAACACCGGGCAGCAGATTCCCATTGACTACCATGGTGCAGAGTGCTAAGGCTGCATCCAAACTGCTTTGTGTTTCTTTAGACCCAGCAGGTCCTGTTGAGATGCGTTTCCACTGCGGGTAAAATTTGGCATTCTGTTGCAATTTATCACGTGTTTGAGTGGCACTGCATTCGAATGCACAAGGCGGCATTTAATGGGTTATTAAACCCTCATACGTCTAGCAAGCTTTATATAAAGCTGTGGACTGATCACTCTCCATTTTGGCAATATTCATCTGGACCTGCGTTGCGTGTTCTCCGAGAGTTACTTTGCTTACTCTGTCACAGGAGCAGAGACTATACATACCGGTTTCCTGTTTATGTGAGCCGTAAACTGTGCCTGCTTCATGCTTTTCTGAAGTCTGTACACATACTTGTCATTGTGAGATCTGCAATAATAAAACACAATACAAATCACTTCTGAACACACATGTCCCCAATAACCCGAGTACTACTGCCCTACGCTCTTGCATTTAAAACATGCCTAACCATAGAGTTTCTATTGTTGAACGATCCTATCTACGTTTCCCTGTGCCCCAACGGCGTCGGAATCAGAAGCTGCAGCACTTAGAAGGGGTTGTCAGTCCACGTCGCTGGTCATACGAATATAGCGGGGCACATACCTAATAGACATACGCTCGACTCCCCGACACCAGAGCAGCCCATGGAGCAACCAAGGTTCAGAAGCTGGCCCTGATTTGCTGACAGAAGGAACCCACAGCAGGTCAGGCCACCAAGGGGTAAGTCACTTATTGTAGCTGACCTTCCTTAGGCACTAAAGAATGCATAGGGACAGACCTCTTCCTGTCTGATAAAAATGAAGGGACTGAGGGAAGGTCAGAGGACGGCCCCTATTCCCAAAGGGAAAATAAGATTTTTTTGTACATCCTGTAATATCCATTCCTAAAAGTCTATTAATGGACTCAGGAATGCAGAAATAGTCAGGTAAAGCTGCCACCCTAAGGAGGATTGGACAATGCAAAGTAGGGATCGAGTACCGATATTTTTTTTCCGGTACTCGCCGATAGCGAAAGTCCTATTCAGGAAACTAGGTGGCGTGCAATGACTCGCCACCTAGCTTCCTAAATAGCCTCAAAGCTGGGTGGCGCATAAAGACTCGCGACCCGGGTTCCCGATTAGCAGGGAAGCCGCCTCCATGCTTCTCGTCACCAGGTGACGAGAAAGCATGGAGCCGGCTTTCTGACTGGCCAGAAAGCTGGCTCCATGCTTTCTTGTCACCTGGTGACGAGAAGCATGGGGACGGCTTCCCTGCTAATCGGGAACCCGGGTGGCGAGTCTTTATACGCCGCCCGGCTTCCTGACCAATCAGGAAGCCGGCTCCATGCTCTCTTGTCACAAGTGACAAGAGAGCATGGAGCTAGCTTCCCGGACAATCAGGAAGCCGGGCAGCCCGTAATGATGCGCTGCCCGGCTTCCTGATACCGGAAGTATCGGGCTAGGCATCAGAGCATTTGGGCGAGTACGAGAACTCGCCCAAATACTCGGCACCGATATCAATACTAGTATCGGTATTGGTGTATACCTAATGGAAAGGGTTGTAAGCCAGCCCCAGTGTAACCCTCTCCCACCCAGAAGGTCTTTCTCCTGATGCTTCAATGCGACCGGCCTCACTTCAGAAACAGGGTTGCATCAGAGGCTGTGCCACAGTTCTGGACCTCGCTCCACAATGCACATCCCAGTGCCCGACTGTCCGATTCTAGGATAGCCTCACAACATCCAATGGCCTATTCACAGAGTGGGTCAGCAGAGTCAGGGTAACACACCTGAGGCTGTGACATGGCTTCAAACCTGGAAAGCGCTCTGCTTAACCACTACAAACAGGTCTGGAAAGTGCCATAATGCAGAGCTTAGCGCCCATAGGCCACATTCCAAGTTAGCCCCACAATCATCCACTCCGGCAGGGTCTGGATATGGCCTCCAAAGCTATTGCTGAAGAAACACCAATCTGGATAGCAGTGTATGAAGACCAGCTTAAGCAGCCTGTAGAGGAACCTTGACAAAAGAACAAGAGACGTTTCTCAGCAAGGCCGAGGAGAGCCACCCATTCTCCTGGACACCAGAAGACTGAGGCATGCTGGGTAGAGGAGGGGATATACTGGCCTATTACTTTTCTGTTTACCAGTGCCCAATGCTGCCCAAGATAACAGCAAACCCAAATGTTTCCGATTATCTGTGTCCCTTAATAGACGATGGAGAAAGTGGGGTATGGGCGGAAGACCAAAAATAAGAGACGTGAGCCCCTTTCTGCCATAGTTCCCAGCAACAAGCCTCAGAACAGAGGGAACAACCGACCAGTTCAGCTGAACTCATTGCTTTTAGAGTTTTGTGATCACCTGTCCTTGTGGGAGAAGTCTCTGATGAGCCTACATGGGCACCCTGGTATGTTACAGCTACCGGCCTGACGCAGGGCTCTACAGTGGAGCACTTAGCCGACATGCTACACACGCCTTTGCTGGGGCACATTTACCGAAACGGAATAAGAGGGTTGTAACCTCACCTGTTGATGGAGCCCAGCATTCCAGGAGAGATGTGATCACACTGAGGGGTGTAAGCAAAAGGAAATACACCAGAGGAAGGAGATGATGGGGTATACTCATCCAAGTGGAAATCCGCATCCTCGTCGGAGGCCCTCAGTGTTGGTAGCTATGTGCAGAAGACACAAAGGGAACAGACTGCAGTTATCACAATATTTATAGAAATAGACAAGGCTTGAAACATGTTAGGGTGTCTCACCAGTCAGCATGACCGGACTATAGCCTATAGGAGACTATAGGAAACCACTAATATCATTGTAGTTTTTATTACATTGGTTGAAGTGGTTTCAGAAAATCTGCCCAATTGTGGGGCAGAATAAAGCCAACAAATAGGTACATTGCAAGAATCATTAGTCCTTGTATATGAACGCACACCAATGTCTCGACACATGTTATAGACCACAACTGAGGCGCCCTACCTTCACCATTTTATTCCGAAATGGAGTGGAGCTGAACAGGTCATCAACATCATCTTTCTCCATGTGATCCAAAAACTCCCGCATCTGCTGCTTCCTTTTCAGGGTCCCCACTTTGGCTGAGATTTTTACTTCAGTTTCTTTACTTTTACCTGTTTGGGTAGAAACATCACTCACGTTGGAATCCTTTCTCAAGAATTAAGAGGCGAGTAAACTTCTGTCCAGTTTTAAAGCCCAAGTGAACTTTCAGTTTAAATCGGCCACAAATATTCCAAGTGTATGAAAAGGATTCTCCAACTAGATTGACCGCACACTGCTCCGCATCACTATACAACTTTTATTGCAGAAAATGCGGTCGCATAGCGTCCCCGCATCTTTTACTGACCGCCTCTAATGCATTTCGGCCAATCAGGCTTACTCATGGAAATCTCTATGAGTAAGCCCATTTGGGTCAAACACGTTAGAGCCCAAAGGGTCTCTAACCATTCTCCTGGCAACCGCCAAACCCAGACACGTCCATCGGATTGCCAGACAGTGAAGCGTGATTGGTCACTCCAGAGAACACGTCTCCTCTTCTCTAGAGTCCAGTGGCGGCGTGCTTTACACCACGGCATCCGACACTTTGATGATGTAAGGCTTGGATGCAGCTGCTCGGCCATGGAAACCCATTCCGTGAAGCTCTCTACGCACTGTTGTTGTGCGAATCTGAAGGCCACATGAAGTTGGAGGTCTGTAGCTATTGACTCTGCAGACAGTTGGCGACTTCTGCGCACTTCAGGATGCGCTGACCCCGCTCTCATTTTACGTGGCCTACCACTTTGTGGCTGAGTTGCTATTGTTCCCAGTTGCTTCCACTTTGTTATAATACCAGTAACAGGTGACCGCGGAATATTTAGTAGCAAGGAAATGTGACGGATGGACTTATTGCACAGGTGCCAACCTGTCACGGTACCACGCTTGTAGTCACTGAGCTCCTGAGACTGACCCATTCTTTCACAAATGTTTGTAGAAGAGTCTGCATGCCGAGGTGCTGATTTTATACACCTGTGGCCATGGAGGTGATTGGAACATTTGAATCCAATGATTTGGAGGGGTGTCCCAATACTTTTGGCAATATAGTGTGTATGTATATGGTGCACACTGACATCTCGTGGAGAAAATCACAAATTGAATGCAAGAAACTCCTGAGGTAAGCGTTTCCCAAACTGACATTCAGCCCATGTTTTTTAGGATCGCTTAACAAAAAAACAAACAATAAAACACACAGCACTGGCAAAGCCCCCCCCCCCAAAAAAAAAAAAAAAAAAAAAAAAA